AGTGGCTGGATAAGGCTGCATGAAGGTTTTGCATGTGACGGGCTCTAGCCGCTGTGAGGCTCGTCTTCAGCGAGCGCATGTTTTAAAGCCATCCTTGCCATATTGGGCTAGCTACTTCTTCTCTGACAGACGTCCCGGAACTCGGGGACCGAGAACAAGCTACAAGTCTAAGGTCTGGACACAACAAAGCTACCCGAAAAAGCACTGCCGTGAATCAAGCCGCTGACCACAGGCGCAAAATTTATCGGGAAGCTGCCACCCAGGAGGCATGGGCTCTGCATTGAGTTGATTAGGTACCGGCGAAAGAAGGGAACTCAAGAAAGCTTGAGACAGACGTACCTGCGAGTTTCCTCGAAGCATCGGGCAATTATGAGAAAAGCTTCTCTTGGTAATCCCTGTGCAATCAGCAAAATCCCGATGATGTTTTACCAGTCAAGTCGAACAACTCCGCAGCTGGGAGTCGCCTCCTCTCGCAGATCTTCTAAGAGCCCCAGCGTATGGCCTTAGGCCCGATCGGGTAGGTGAGGAGCTTCGAGTCTAGCAGACGGTCTTGGTTAGTCATGGGTATCCCAGAACTCCCGAACATCCCGGACGTGCGTAGTAGGGTAATTCATGAGGGAACAGTTGACGAGCATACCGACGATGCCGGACTCTTCCCATGTTTACCGAGCTTTGAAGCAATGTCTTGAGAGGTTCTGGATCGAGACGCCGCGGAGTTAAGGGCCAAAGGATGGCCTCTTTCCTTAGATTCTTCAGACTGGTGAGCAGACCTGGGGCAGTGCCATCCTACTGCAGACATCGCAGTCACGCTTTCTGAGATGTGCTGAAGGCATCTGCACTTGAGATTTTATGCTGTCGGGATGTACCACATTGCACTCAATATGGGAGGGTGCCCTTGCAGTTTGGCTTTTCCCCGGAGTGTCCAAACGATAGCACAGACCATGGCGTCAGATGGATCAGCCCAGAAGTTGGTGTTGGGGGAGTCTCCATGGCCTTGGAATCTGTAGCTATGTCTCTAAGCCCTATAAACCCTAAACCCTTTAAACGGCATAAACCCTATAAACAGAAAACCGTAGGTTTTGGAGCGTGTGGCCATGAGAGCGTCACGGAGAGCCCCAAGCCGACAAGAAGAACTTCGAGCGAGTTCGGCGTCAGGGTGTCAGTTTCTTTCTACTTGTTGGCTGTAAACTCAACTTTTCAACTTTGGGGTGCTTATAAGGTAGTAGCAGTGTTAGATCATTGTCTTGTAAATGAAGGGTTTAGATAGGCAGAGACTGAAATACCGCACCTCAGTTCGACATTGTCTTACCTGCAAAGCACATTCACTCGATTGACTCACGTCTGCAATTGGAGCTAGTTTGCCCAGGAGGCCCCAACCCCAAAGCGTGCTGCTTGCACGGAAATGAAGCCGGAATCAGGACGAATTTGAAGCTCATGCGTGTGCAAGCAATAGCCCTGATAGTAGACAAGCAACGTCATGGCAGCTATAACGACAGTAACAATAGTCTATAGTCTCTATAGTGATACTACTGAAGTAGCAATCATAGGGCTGGATCACCTATACTCAAATTACTAGAGGCTTTGTTTCGACTCTTTCAAGCGGCTTCCTGGCAAAAGCTTTGCTCAAGCGGATGTCAGGGGTCTGTGACATAGCCCAAGGGTGCCCAGGCTTTGTTTAGGGTTTAGGGTGTATTTCTGGTTTCGGGTCTGTGTCGGGTTTTTGGGTTCAGAGTTTGGGATCGTTTGGATTAGAGTCATTTTAGGTTTGAGAGTTTCGCGCAGGTCCTACGGCTTAGGGACTCAGTGTTGGCCTTTTCCGATCCCTGGGATTTCAATGGCCTGATAGTTACATGCTCGGAACCTCAAAGAGGCCCTACTGTGTGGGAGCTCCCAAAAGGCGAAACTTCTGGTTGAACATGCCTTGTTTTAAGGATTCGGGATGTAGGCCCTTAAGACCAGTCGCAAAAAAACATGGCTTAAGGGCCGGAGAGATAGCTAGCAGTCAGACTTTCTGGACCACCTAGCCCCACGGCGTCAAAAACAGACAGACAGACACACAGACAGACGGACGCATACATATGGACAGTTCGATTTCTCGTCGGAGGCGTGTGTTTTTGTGCTTGCAGGAGTCCTGGCGCACATCCCTGAGCATCCCCAAACCCCAAACATTTGGATTGTGCGAGTGTGAGCGCCGAAACATTCGGCTGGTAACTCCGGATGCGAAGTTCCCTGCTACACCTGCTTGGGCCAGCTGTTTCACCAACGGTTGCTCTCGATGAGCGTGCTAAGGCATCTGGAGAAATGAAGACTTGACACTCGTTGCAGGGATAACTGTAGGGGAGGAACGCAGTTCTCGTGTTGACAATGTGGGGTCGGTGTCGTGGTGCCATCACTGCCCGCCATAATCACTTGTGATATCTCAATCATGGGGGGTCTAACTGCGAGAACTAGCCTGAACCAGTCAGCACCCCCGTCGCAGTGTCAGCAGCAGCAGCAGTCGTAGCGAGCAACGAATGCTTGGGCCCAGCGTACAGTGAGACTCGCCGTCGTCATTGTCAACAACATTTCCAGCAGCAGCAGCAATATATAGAGGCCTCAATAATTACCAATATTATTCCTAGGGTTCCTTTTTCTAGTTATAGTATACTATGCTCCAAAACCCGCTCTTCTAGCTATTAAAGGCCCCTATATGATCATTGTCGTGCCGTCACTAGCAGCAGCTGCTAGCATAATCGTTTTTTGTTTCGCTGTAATTGTCAGATAAACCCCTGAGGAGATCTCCTCTACGGCCTCACAGGGCGAAGTGGCTACTGTGTAAGGCTGCGGCCCCAGATGACCAGCCATCCATGTATGCAGCAACCAAGTTTCGTCATTTAGGCAGAGATAGCAATGTACCCCTGTCAGATAAGACAATATGCACTGTTAGGCACATGGTTCTCAGTCACTCCTCTAGATATGCGCATTCTTCATCTGCGTATACGGTCAACATGTATGTACATGCTGTGCAGTTATGTGCATGTGTATATATATATATATATATATATATATATTTGTATGAAGATGTAGAAGTGTTGAACGACAGGTGAACATGTTATAGATGTGCTTACAAGTATGCATATGACGATCCATCAACACATGTTATCACAAAAAACATACACATACGATGCGTACGACTTGATGTGGTTTCTCATGCCTTTTGTTCCTTGTTTCACTCTGTCAATCTTTCACACATACACACTTGCAAGCTTGCATGCCGGCATGCATGCACACATACACTTAGCCTTCAAGTGGGACCCTTTTTTCCTTTATGTTTTCCGGTGTTGTTCGGTTTGTTTGTGTAGGATCGTAGAGATAAGCCCCTTATTCTCCGAACCCCCTGAACGTTTTGCCCTGCCCTGCTTCTCCTCTGCCGTATCGGCTCCACCCGTTGATGGTGGAGTTCTTTTTGCCGGGGCCCTCAGACGCTTTTGTGTTACTCTTTCGGGGTCAGAGTTTGAGGGACAGCTGGGGAGTGATTACGAGACAGACAGACAAACAAAGAGCGAGAGAGAGATAGAGAGAGAGAGAGAGAGACAGAGCGAGCGGGAGAGGAGGGAGGGAGGGAGGGAGGGAGGGAGAGACAGAGAAAGATTGAGCTGGTAACAAAATATATTATTAGGTAAGGAGAAAGAGAGAGCGAGAGAGAGAGAGAGGCAGCGCTTCGAATGATGTGACGGAGGAAGGCAAGAGAAAGCAGAGGGCCTCAGCACTGCAGAAGTGCTGGGGGGCCACAGCACTG